GATTGCTGCCGTCAAAGCAAATTCGAGACGTGCGAAAATGGGCCTACAATACTTTTGGTGATGAAAGGGCGATTCAATTTACTGTGATGGTCCACGCCAGAGGATTTAAGCGCTAATGCAGACTATATTCGAATGGCTGACCAATATGTCGAGGTACGGGAGCATTCAAGTGCCGTTTATAATAAAAAAGAATAAAGATGATTGAGTTTTGGGAACGAAATAACGGAGCTGAATGAGAGTCTGAAACTAATTTTCATTGCCTAGGTTCCTGGAGGCACGAATAACAACAATTATGCCAATGTTGAACTCATTGTGGATATTGCAGAGCGAATGGGTGTCCATGCAGTGTGGGCCGGATGGTGAGGATATTCTTTCGTGGATCATTTTTTGAATCTTCGAGGGGGAGGAACAAGCGCGCTAATATTCCACCAGGGGTCACGCTTCGGAAAACCCAAAGCTTCCTGAGTCGCTAGCGGCGTCTCCGAAAAAGATTATTTTTATCGGTCCCCCTGGTTCTGCAATGCGATCTCTTGGAGATAAAATTTCTTCGACGATTGTTGCCCAACATGCAGGGGTTCCCTGCATCCCTTGGTCTGGAGAAGGCGTGGAGGAGGTCACAGTCGATGAAGAGGGGATTGTAACGGTTGAACCTCACATTTATGACAAAGGATGTACGCACTCTCCGCAAGAAGGCCTGGAGAAAGCTCTGGCTATTGGCTTCCCGGTCATGGTCAAGGCCTCGGAGGGAGGTGGTGGGAAAGGTATTCGGAAAGTCGAGAGGGAAGAGGATTTCATCAATATGTATAATGCCGCCGCCAGCGAGATTCCTGGATCGCCGATTTTCATCATGAAACTCGCAGGCAATGCGAGACATTTGGAGGTTCAGTTACTAGCAGATCAATATGGTAACAACATTTCCCTCTTCGGACGGGATTGTTCGGTACAACGACGACATCAGAAAATTATCGAGGAGGCTCCCGTCACGATCGCGAAGCCAGAAACCTTTCAAGCAATGGAGCGAGCCGCTGTGAGGCTCGGGAAGTTGGTTGGCTACGTTTCCGCTGGAACAGTCGAATATCTCTACTCCCATGCAGAAGATAAATTTTACTTCCTGGAACTAAATCCCCGTCTACAGGTTGAGCATCCCACAACAGAGATGGTTTCTGGAGTGAATCTTCCGGCTGCGCAACTTCAGATTGCAATGGGAATCCCCTTACATCGCATTCGTGATATCCGTCTGTTGTATGGCGTTGATCCTAATACCAGCTCCGAGATTGATTTCCATTTCACCAATGAAGAAAGCACGAAAACCCAACGCCGACCAAAGCCCAAGGGTCACACCACTGCTTGTCGTATCACGTCCGAGGACCCCGGTGAAGGTTTCAAGCCCTCCAGCGGAACAATGCACGAGCTCAACTTCCGGAGTAGTTCAAATGTTTGGGGTTATTTCTCTGTTGGTACCTCTGGTGGGATCCATAGTTTCTCTGATTCTCAATTCGGCCATATCTTTGCCTACGGCGAAAATCGTTCCGCGTCACGCAAGCACATGGTCGTCGCATTGAAGGAATTGAGCATTCGCGGTGATTTCCGGACAACTGTTGAGTATCTCATCAAACTTTTGGAGACACCTGCGTTCGAGGAGAACACTATCACTACCGGTTGGTTGGATCAGTTGATTTCCAATAAACTTACAGCTGAGCGCCCTGATCCAATGGTCGCTGTTATCTGTGGAGCTGTCACCAGGGCTCATCTCGCGAGTGAGTCGTGTGTTGCGGAATATCGGAGAGGTATTGAAAAGGGTCAAGTACCTTCAAAAGACGTCCTGAAAACTGTTTTCCCCATCGATTTTATTTACGAAGGATACCGATACAAATTCACTGCCACCAGATCAAGCGACGATAACTATCATCTGTTCATTAATGGATCAAAATGTTCTGTTGGCGTTCGGGCTCTAGCTGATGGTGGACTGCTCGTACTTTTGAACGGACGAAGCCATAATGTTTACTGGAAGGAAGAGGCTGCTGCGACACGCTTGAGTGTCGACGGGAAAACATGTTTGCTTGAGGAAGAAAATGACCCCACACAACTTCGCACTCCTAGTCCAGGAAAGCTTGTTAAGTACACAGTGGAAAACGGCGAACATGTCCGAGCTGGGCAACCATTCGCTGAAGTTGAAGTCATGAAAATGTATATGCCCCTCATCGCGCAGGAGGATGGTATTGTTCAACTCATCAAGCAGCCTGGATCTACACTCGAGGCTGGGGATATTTTGGGTATTCTCGCGTTGGATGATCCATCCAGAGTGAAGCATGCTCAACCTTTCCTTGGGCAGCTGCCAGAGCTAGGTCCTCCACAAGTTGTCGGCGTCAAGCCCCCTCAGCGTTTCGGCCTCCTCCACAGCATCTTGATTGATATTCTTCGTGGGTTCGATAACCAAGTCATCATGGGGGCCACCCTGAAAGAATTGGTCGATGTCCTGAGAAATCCCGAACTACCGTATGGAGAATGGAACGCACAAGTTTCTGCTTTGCATTCACGTATGCCACAGAAACTTGATTCCCTCCTCACGCAGGTCGTTGATCGAGCCAAGTCCCGAAAGGCGGAGTTCCCGGCGAATCAATTGATGAAGACCCTTACACGCTTCATTGAGGAGAATGTGAGCCCTGGCGATGCTGATATTCTCCAAACGAGTCTCCTGCCCCTCGTAGATGTCATTCGACGATACAGTGATGGACTTAAGGTCCATGAATATAAGGTTTTCATTGGTATTCTTCAGCAGTATTGGGAAGTGGAACATCTTTTCACGGGAAGAAATATGCGAGACGAGGATGTGATTCTTAAACTGAGAGAAGAAAACAAAGATGACATCGACGGAGTCATCCAAACTGTCCTATCTCACAGCAGAGTCGGAGCGAAGAATAACTTGCTTCTCGCCATTTTAGATATGTATCGTCCAAACAAACCGAATGCGGGTAATGTCGGAAAGTACCTCAAGCCCATCTTGAAAAAACTTGCAGAGTTGGAATCACGAGCCACTTCCAAAGTGGCTTTGAAGGCCCGTGAGGTTCTTATCCAGTGCGCATTGCCATCCCTTGAGGAGAGGGTTGCTCAGATGGAGCATATATTGCGCTCTTCGGTGGTGGAATCCAAATACGGAGAGACAGGCTGGGACCACAGAGAACCTGACCTAAGCGTATTGAAGGAAGTTGTCGATTCCAAGTACACTGTCTTCGATGTTCTCCCTCTTTTCTTCGGACATCAGGATCAATGGGTATCGTTGGCAGCGAATCGAGGTGTATATCCGCCGGGCTTACCGAGCCTACTCGTGAAGGGGAGAA